TTATCCATCGACTTGCCTTTCTCAGCAGTAGAGAAACGAAAATTCAAGGGATGCTTCAGATGCTCATATGTTTTAGATTTAGATGAGCATGTATTAGGAGATTGCATAAGAGAGAGAGAGAGAGAGAGAGAGAGTTAAACACACAGTCGACAGGAACATTATCAGATACAGAGTTAGGATTCTTAGCTTTGACAAAAATTCTGAACTTAAGAGATTCTCCATTATCATTAGATCTAGGAGAAAGAGATCCAACAGAATCAGATAAATGAGATAAAGAAGCGGAAGAGTGAATGTGAGAAGAAATACACATATAGTCATCAGGAGCACACAGATCCAGATCATCATAACCTAGGTCAGTCTTTATTTCACTAGGAAGTTGATCATGTAAGATTTTATCAAGGTTCTTGGATGATCTAGCCTATTTTTGAAGAATAGCTTTTTCTTTCTCAAGCTTCTCGTAGACCTTAGTTTTTTCTTTGTTAAGAACATTGTTTATTAACTTTTGTTCTTTCAAGTCATTTTTCAACTTATCAAAGTCTTTCAGTTGATTCATGCATTTATGTAACTGACTAGTTAGACTTTTGATTTCAAGGTCAACTTTCTCTCTAGCAGATCTAGCATTGTAAAGAATAAAGAATCAAAAGCTTGAACCTTTTCAGATTAAGAGATAGAAGAGAAGTTGTTTACCTTCTTTGTTTTGACCAAATCTTTGGCATCCTTGGAGGTAGAAGGTACATCAGCAACAACAGTAGAGGAGGATCCCTTGACAGAGTCTTCTGTCTCCCAAATTTTGGCTATAAGGCACAGATGTGCCATGTCCTCATCACTAGAGGAAGAGGTTGGCTCATCAATCCAGTCATGAGTCTCAGCCATGAGACCCTTACCTTTTCTTTGAAGGCTCTGGTTCTTTGCCTTTTCTCTCTTATACTTTGCTTTGTACTTGTCATGAGAGGATCGGCTAGAGGGTTGAGAAGGATGTTGCTTAGAGATCTTTTTGCTTTTGCACTCAGCAGCAAAATGACCTTTCTTGCCACAGTTGAAACACTCCTCATTGGACAGATCAAGATGAGCTGATTTAGGTTGATCTAAGGTTCTACGATCGGGACCTTAGATCTAGGAGAGAATCTTTTTGGCGTACCTTTTGAAATTAGTAGCCATCATGGCCATGTTGTCAGCTAAGTCATTAACTGTGGGTTCATCACCCTCATCATCAGCATCATCAGTATAGCTTTCAGCAAAGTCTTCTTTTCTGACAACATCTTCTTTAGTCTCAGTCAGATAAGTGATACGAGGTTCACTGACTGGCTTCCTCGTATCATTTCAAAGAAGAGCAATAGGAGAAGTTTTAGGATCCTTTAATAATGCCTTTTTCAGATGCTTGGTTTGCTCATAATTATGGAGAGTTCTATAAAGAGCAGTAAGAGGCATATTTTCAAGATCTTTGCTTGTCTTGATACAAGGACAGATGTTTTCCTAGAAATCTGGTAAACAGTCCATGAACTTGCACATGACTTCCTCATTTTCATAGACTCTGCCATGAAACTTCAGATCATTAAGGAGGCTGTTAAACCTGTTGTAGTACTCAGTGAGAGATTCACCTTTTCCATGCACAAAGAGCTCATATTGCCTAACGATGCTAGTCTTCTTGCTTTTCTTTACTTCGATGGTTCCTTCATACAGAGCACAGAGAGTGTTCCACATGTCCTTAGCAGTAGAGAGGTTTACCAAGGAGTGGAAAACATCATCAGGAAGAGAGAGGGCAATGATAGCCCTTACCTTGGTATCGAAGGAAACTTTTCTTTTGTCATCTTCATTCTACTGTGCAGGATCTTTGATGATGAACCTTCCAGTAGAGTAAGATTCATCTTCATCATCATCATAATCATTTGAAGAGTCACCTTCATCTTTGTTCTTTCCATGACGAAGCCATACTTTTGGAACAATGGGTCCATCCTTGAGGATAGAGAGATATTGACTATCAACACCCTCAAGGAAGAGTGTCATGCGACTTTTCCACATAGGAAAGTTGTTCTTGTTAAACTTGGGAGGCTTGGGAATTGTGACATTGTTGTGGTAAGAAGAAGGAGCAAAGTTGGAAGAAGAAGAGGCCATTGTAGATCTAGCTTATGAGATTAAGCTAACTGCTCTGATAGTCCCGAAAGGGATGACAATAAACAAAATGTAATTGTAGAAGGGGAGATTGAATACAATTACACAGACTTTTTTCAACTTTTTAATTCTTATTTATGTATATCAAGAATTAACACACAGAGATACAAAAGATTGTTGCAGAAGATAGGAAAGGAAAACCTAACCTAAACAATCTTACAAGAAGAAGAACTTACAAGAATAACACAAAGAGTACTTGAAAGGAAATGAAGAACACTAAGTTTTTTTCACACACAGGAGAGCAAGGGAATAGAAGAGAATAGCCAATTGCCTTAAGAATGCACTTAGTAATCTTTCAAAAAGCCAGTGGTGTGCACGCGAGAAGCACACTGCCTTTTATACTACCTTTAGCATTAAATGCATGGGGACACTTGTCACGTGAGGATAAGAAGGCAGGGGTTGACTTGACCATTGTTGATATCTTATTTTTATTGTACACAGCGTGCATACAACACTGTTCATGCAGAGACAAACTTTTGCAGAGATATGGTTAGTCTGCAGGAAGATCTTCTTTGGATGGATTAGTAGCTTCAAACCACTACTCATAAATCTTCGGTCCATGAAGATCTTCAATCTTCGGTCCATGATGATTTTTCCTTCAATCGGCTTGTAGCTTCAAAATATTTCAATATTCATTTCAACTACTCTAGAGTCTTGGTGTGTATATTATACAGTTGATCTACAACACCATATCAGTGACCTTCTGTCTTCACATCGACTAGTCTTCGATTTTGCCAATGGCTTAAGTATGTACCAAGACACCAATATACAAAGAAACCAAGAACTACTAAGTGTTGCTAAGGTAGAGAAACAGATCAGTGGGTCATCAACAAATCAATAGGTGACCCAACACTATCCCTGGTCCGGACACCACATAGAGATATGAGTTGAAAGCTATAATATAGTGCAATGGTCAAAGTCCGAGAGAAATACCTTAAAATAGATGGCGGAACTAAGTTATGAACAACTGCTTGTTGTAGCATTCCTACAACATTGACTACTAGAATTTGTGTCTGAGTCTCACCACAAGTCTTACACCAATGTTACCTTTGTTTATTTTGTTATTTGCATTTAATTAACTCAGAATCAAACTGAAGTCTTCAAATTCATCATCTGAAATTATCTCTTTCATTAGACTTTTATTAGACTTTTGCTACAATCTCCGTGGACGATAAACCAATATTTTACCACTTTATTACTTGGAATTTGGAAAGGTGATATTGGGCCATATTGTATACTTGTTTTGTAGTTGATTTCATTTGTTTAAAGGTGTGCAATATAACCTACCAGTTATTCTTCAGAGTTATTTTTCAGAGTTATATTTCAGAGTTATTCTTCAGAGTTATACTTTAGAGTTATTCTTCAGAGTTATAATTCAGAGTCATTCTTCAGAGTTATACTTCAGAGTTATTTCAATAGTACAAGTCTGAAGTCATTCTTCAGAATTTTACTTCAATGTTATTCTTCAGAGTCATACTTCAGAGTTATATTTTAGAGTTATTATTCAGAGTTATACTTCAGAGTCATTATTTAGGGTCATTATTCAGAGTTATTCTTCAGAGTCATTCTTCAGAGTTATTCTTCAGAGTTATTCTTCAGAGT